GCCTGTAATGGACTGCACTTGCAGGATCATGTAAGGGATGAGGTTTCCCTGAGGACAGGATGAGCATTAGGGCTGTGCGAAATTTCACCCCATTTTTTGTTTCGAGCTCAAAACAGTGAAATCGAAATGAAACAAAAGCCTTCAAAACAAAACAAGGGCACTCAAAATGTTTCGAGTTCAAAGCCAGGCTTACTTGGCTTCAGCGCCGGTCCCAGCTGGCAGCAGCAGCCTCCTGTCATATGGCAAGCAGATCAGGGCCCGCCCGCAACCCCGGAAGGGCCGTGGGGCTATGCCAGACTCTTTCCAGGGGCATGGGCCCCTAATATGCCTGCTGGATGACAGGAGGCTGCTGCTGCTGGCTGGGACCAGCACTGGGCACAACCCACACCCAGAGCCAGGAAGATTGGTGCTGCTGCTGGCCCCAGCCAGAAGTACCAGCCTCCTGTCACCCGGGCCCTGTACTGGAGCCGGCCCAAGAAGGGTGCGGGGCCCGGGGTAAATCACCTCATGTGGGGACCCTCCCTCACCATGGGACTGTGGTGGCAGCGGGTCCCCACACGAGGTGATATGCCCCAAGCCCCATACTGGAGCTGGCCCAAGGAGGGTGCGGGGCAGGTGCAAATCAGCTTGTGTGGGGACCCACCCCTGGGATCAGCCAACTCCTACCAGGGGTTCAGGGGGCTCCCAATCTGCCTGCCGAATCACAGGAGGCTGCTCCTGCAGATTGGTGCTGCTGCTGGCCCCAGCCAGCAGCACCAGCCTCCTGTCATCTGGCAGGCAGATCGGGGGCTTGTCTGCACCCCCAGGAGGGCTGAGCCAGACTCCTCCTGGGGGTGCGGACCTCCAATCTGCTTGCCGGATGACAGGAGGCTGGGGCTGCCGGCTTGGGCCAGCAGCAGCACCGATCTTCCTGGCTCTGGGTGGGCTAAACATTGAAAAAGCATCGAAACAAGACAGTTTCGACAAAACGGAACGGAACAGTGCTTTTGAAATGAAACAAAACTCAAAATGAAATACTGTTCCATCAAAACGGAAGTCAAAGCGGAACAATGCTGTTTCGCACAGCCCTAATGAGCATAACATTAGTTAGTTGGTTTGCAGATAACAGGCCAGAATGTAGTGTTTTCAGCGAGACAGAAGGTGGGCTGTGTTTGTAGATGAATGTGTGACATGGTGGGGTAGAGCTGGAGTGAGTTGCTGTTAGCTCAGTATATGCAGCCCGTATGATGTCAAGGTGGTGTTCCGTAGTCACTTCTAACTTTCAAACCCTCACTGTTATGATGAGAACATTCTCAGGGTGGTGTTATAGGTTACCTTTAAATCATTCTGAATTAACTTAAAATGGGAGCAGTCACATGTTAAAGGGTGTTATCCCATCCTAGTTACCCTCTAAGCACCTAAAAATTATGCCACTTGGAGTGAAGGTTATCTTTGAGCCATTCTACCAAGGTCAAGGCAAGACCTTGTTAGTCTGCTCTGCAGAGATAAAGTGATCAATTTGCAGTCCTCCAGCATCCCAGGAGGCCCAGCTCCTCTACCCCTTTCCACCCTCCAAAGTTCTATTAATCTCACTGCCTGTAGGCTCCAGCTTGTAGCACATGCAACCTAGGGATGCTGTTTTGGGGTTTTGACTTCATTTGGTTTTTTTCCCCAGTTCAGGTTTTCTTTTCTTTTTTCTTCCCAGTTGTATGTTAACTC